TCATGTTGCAGCGGTGCAACCCTTATTCGTAAATGCAGACCAGATTATTTATTAAAAAATGAAATTAATTTTGATTTCATTTAGATGAAAATTAAATTCAAATTTTTTGATTAATTTATTTCAAAAATACAGTTTGACGTCGTGTAATGGAAATTTAATTGATTTAATGTTTTCAATGCCCGTGCACCTAATACGAATTAGATTGAAATTGTATCATTTATTCTGCATTCAAATATCCCAGAAAAGCTTCGAAATGTGTCCTGCACCGTCCCGAAGGGAAAATCGATATTAATTAATCGATTTTATAAAAATAGTCCTCTTTGGGCAGGATAAATTGGACCAATGGAATGGTTCCAGTCATTTAAAGTAATAATTTTTTTAATACCTATTGATCGTCGCGCTAATGGAAGTTTGCTGGAATAAAAATTGTATTATTCAGTCGTGTAACTGGAAGACAGAAATCGGTTTTAAAAATAATTTGTCCGGGGATAAATTTTGAAAAGTTCTTGAAATTAAATTAGTATTTTTCGATGAAGAAAATCATTAAAAATGTAAGTTTCTTAATTTAAATAATTTTATTAAAAGTGTACATAGTTAACAAAAAAAATAATACAATTTTAAATTATTCTATTAACTATCATACCAGAGTAGATTTTATATACATGTATAATGAAATAATACCAGCAGTTATGCAAATCTTCCATTAGACCAGGTTTCAAAATAACCTGTGCTTTTTGCACTCCTTTTATCGTCTTGATAATCATGCCATTACTGTTGAACAAGGCCAACCTTAGAGGTAGCTGTAAATGAGGAAAACCATGAGCAATGGTCGGGAGATCCATTATGCGGTCATATCTGCTCGTTAAAGGAGACATCAGCCTTGGTGGTTCGCCATTACGATTCCCAAAAGCACTTTGAAATATTCATTGAGATAAATGTGTTACAATTATTTAAATGGCCTACTTGTATCGTTCATAACAATTTGCTTAGTGGCTGAGGATAATTCAACGATTCTGGGTTCTCCGCAATATCCTGCAAATATGGGATTTTTATTCATAAATAATGTTTTCAAAAGCAGAAAATTGTGTAGTTTTCCGCAGAAAATTGTTTTCTCGAATCGTGGATCGTCTGTGCCCGAGCATTTTCTAACGGAATTGGAATGTTGACTTCCGGTTGGCGGAGCGCGCATCCTCCCTCGTTATCAGCCGATGGGAGGAGGTCACGGTACCCATTTCCTACGAGCGATTTTCCGCGAATTGCCTCCATTATGTCCAATTATCGGCTCGGATGAAGGAAGACGTATTCTCGACGAGGGTGAGAGTCGAAGATGGGCCAAACGAGAGGGGGAAGAGTTGAATTTTTTATCGTGCTTTGGGGTTGGAAGTGAAAAGGTTGTAATTTAAATATTTTTGTTCTCTTATCATCCAGATTTTATATATCTTACAACACTTGAAATTGATCGAATTCTACTCATAATGTGCCTCAAAGTCGAAGAAACAATTCTCCTATTTATCTCTTGATCAAACGTCAGTCATTAGCGAAAAGTGCCGACCGTGTCGAAGTCTGATACCAAAACGAGAGGGAAAATGTGGCAAGGAAAGTGAAGATGCTAGAGCACGTTGTCCAGGCACGAAGAGGTCCTCGAGGTCGTTTCCCAGAGTGGTTGAACGGTACTCGAAGTCAACCTTGTTTGCACCACGAGCGCGTTCCCCGTGGCTTCGACCAGCTTGCCTAAGAGTGCTTTCGCGCTGGCCATATTGCCTGGTACACTTGGAGGCAATGTAGGTTTTTTTGGTTAACACATTCGCCGATTGGCACTTGATGACTATGAGACAAAGGTGTACATTGAAACATTGAAAAGCAATAAGCCTAGAGCCTAAGAAAAGTCTATGCTAAGAGAAGGTCTTAAAAGAGTCTAGGGCCTAAGGAGAGCATTGGGCCTAATAGGAGTCTCGGGCCTAGGTGGAGCCTGGACTCTAAGGAAAGTCTAAAGTCTAAGGAAAGCCTAGGGCCTAGAAAGAGCCCAGGGCCTATGGAGTGCCTAGGGACTAAAGGGAGCCATTGGCCTATGAAAGCCAAGGGCCTAGGAAGAGCCCAGGGCCTATGGAGTGCCTAGGGACTAAGGGGAGCCATTGGCCTATGAAAGCCAAGGGCCTAGGAAGAGCCCAGGGCCTATGGAGTGCCTAGGGACTAAGGGGAGCCATTGGCCTATGAAAACCAAGGGCCTAGGAAGAGCCCAGGGCCTATGGAGTGCTTAGGGACTAAATGGAGCCATTGGCGTATGAAAGCCAAGGGCCTAGGAAGAGCCCAGTGCCTATGGAGTGCCTAGGGACTAAAGGGAGCCATTGGCCTATGAAAGCCAAGGGCCTAGGAAGAGCCCAGGGCCTATGGAGTGCCTAGGGACTAAAGGGAGCCTTTGGCCTATGAAAGTCAAGGGCCTAGGAAGAGCCCAGTGCCTATGGAGTGCCTAGGGACTAAAGGGAGCCATTGGCCTATGAAAGCCAAGGGCCTAGGTATAGCCCAGGGCCTATGGAGTGCCTAGGGACTAAAGGGAGCCATTGGCCTATGAAAACCAAGGGCCTAGGAAGAGTCCATGGCCTAGGGAAAATCCAGAGCCTAAGAAGAGCCCAGGGTCTAGGGTCCCCTAGAACCTCCTATCCTCCCAAAGAAGGCATATGGAGGTGTACCTCTCTTTAACTAACAGTAAGGGAAGTTCACATTGTACCCAAATGTAGAAAATGTGGCCATTGTGAATCAGCCCTACCCTGGGCTTGCTGGAAGGGGAATCACCTGGCAATTAAGCCTCTTCTTCTGCGATCGACAGACACTCGCGTGGCACGTTTCGCCCTCGACATCTCGAGTGTCTCATTTGATAGCCTCTTCTTGGAAATTGCTTGCCCTGAACGAAACCTCTGCCCTGCTATGTTCTCAACTTCCCTCCTCTATATTTTATTTGCTGTCTTGTTTACTTTCCTCTTTTCTTCGCGGGTATCTAGACAAAGTATCAGTTGGAAAATTACGACATATCCAGGCAGTTATTTTTAATTTTTATGGAGACATAAAGTTTATGACTTCCATGGTCGACCCACTTAGGGACTAATGGCGATAGGAAAATGTTGCTCCATATTTTTATCTCGTATCGACAAACAGATTCGTCATGATTTATTAACTGTCACTTTGACGAGAGCAATTTTTAATAAATATTACAACGTGTTATTTCATCTGACCCGTTTCTGCTGAGAAATGAAAAATGTTCTTCCATGTTACTATTATATTTCCCCATATAGTCTCGAATCGTATCACCCATACAAATCAATTTTGTCTCGATACTTCACCCTTTTTGTATGACAAATATAAATTTAAAAATGTTTAAACAGGTCTTTCTTTAAAATGGAATTAATTAAGTCACTCGACATAATAATTCTCTTGTAATTTAATTTCTTATGTATGTATCGAAGCAGTTGTTTAAAGGATTGAAAATGATTCTCGGTTTTTAGTGTACAACGTGATTCCACTCGATTATTAAAATGCAATTAAACCGGGAATCGAACGGATACAAACACGTACACGTACACACGTTGGAAAGTTTCCCCTGTACGATGGATCTTATATCGTGCAATTAAATTATGCGCAATGATGCCTTCGTTATGCATTGTGCATTGCGAGCTCGATTATCGAATAATACGTGAATATAATACGCCATTATGCCAGGAACCGATTACTTCGCATTCAAGTCGTGCAATCTCGTCGTGAAATCTCCGGAAAGTAGAGGAAGATTTAATCCGAGCGACCCTCCACTATATTCTGTGGAAGCACAATAATTCGTGCACAACATTGCCATTGTATTTATATTCGATACTCGTTCGCGAATCGTTCTCGTATATTAACGTGAAACGCATCGTTTTATTCTATAATGTTAACCCTTAGCTACCATAGCGAAACAAAAGTAAATTCGATTAAAAAATTCAGAACTAAATATGATTGAAAATAAAAAATAATGACAATCATTCCTTCACCTTCATAAAAAAAAAAATATCACTCAACCTTTCCAATCCATCCACTGCAACAATAAAAAAAAAAGACTACCAGAAGCATCCGTCTCCCTTAACCCCATAAGAAGCGCATTTTCCGATCGGTTAAACCCGACCAAACCTCGACTCGACTCTTCCCAAGGGTTGAAACAGGAACTGCACGCTGAAGAAGTGGAAGAAGAAGAAGAAGAAGAATGAAAGAAACTGGCGAAAAAGGGAGGTCGACTAGATTGAGCCGTGATTGAAAATTCTGCCCCCGGCGACGGGGTTGCTTTCGATTTAAATGTATACACCACTGACAAGTTTCGTTACTTTTACACGCGGAGACAGGGGTGGGTGCGCCAGCCTCTTTTAGCGAGGGGTGAAATATGTAAAATATATTTTTGAATCTTTTCTTTAATAGTTTGAAATTTTTTTAACAGGTTCACCCACCCCTTTCTCAATATCTACCCCTTTCTAGAAGTCGAAATCAGAACACCTGACATTTTAACGATGTTTAATGGAATTTTGAAAAGACTTTTGTGGAAGAAAACCACCTAAAGGGGTAGTTCGGTTACTCCTTCTCGTACAATGTTTCTTTCTGCACATTATTTCATTTATTGTACTACCCACTCGCGGTGACTGTTTATACTGCTTTTGGGGGAACGATGGAAAAGTAAGGGAAGTTAAACGAGAGTTGAATTGGGTAACTTTGTGCAGTTGTTTAGAACAGTTTTGTTGTGTTCGCGAAGTGTACCGTAAGTGGAGAGAATATTGAACGAGGAAGATTGTTGCGGAATGTTGTACGAGCTTCTGATTTCTTTACTTTCCTTTGAACTACTTTGCTGCATTTTCAGTTACTGGCACGCGATATCGCGTGAGCTGACATTTAGCATATTGAACAGTTTGAGAATTCGAGATTGCTGTAATTTTGTAAAATTGTAATTTTTGTATTCGTTTAATTAACCATGAAGATGTTGTTCTGTTTAGGTTAAATTGGACAAGAGCCACAATGGCAAACCTTCGAGGGTTATTCACATCAGAAACATACCGAACGAGGTGTCAGAGGGTGAAATCGTCCATCTTGGTGTACCCTTCGGTCGCGTCACTAATGTCCTCGTTCTCAAAGGCAAGAATCAGGTAAGTGTCAATCAAGTTCTTCGACTAATTAAAAATTTTCAAATTGATTATTCAGTTAGTTAATTAAATACCTACTTTAATTACGATTATACGTACATCGTCGATCGTTAATTGCATTAAACATTGGCAACCCTGATAAGTGGTGCGAATAATTAATTCTTCATTGAAAATAAATTGGAGTTTGTTAATTGAATAGTTTGATCGATCAATTGAAGCTCTTAATTGCGTTATTTTATTATTTAACAAAATCGATCAAACTCGAAATAAACTGGCTAATTATCCAAAGACTCGCGTCTACTTATTTTTAATTGAACATACAGATATAACTAAATTAACGAGCTGCATCGAATCAGAATCGATTGTCTCGTTCAATTTGCTCGAACGAGATCCCCCGTGCTTTCAACCGTCTCTGAATCTCAAAAATCCTTTTGATCCACGCCAGGAATTCGAGTTTGTGTCCACTAGGCTAGGACACAGTTGGACGAGTACTCAATAACAGAAACAATCGAATCACCGAAACGCCTGTTTAGGCATCATTATCCGTTAATGTCCTCCCTCGTTCGACAGATCCACCCCCTTCTCATCTGCCATTGTCATACTTAAAAAGATTCAATTTTTATTGAACTCCTTAAATAATTTTCCAAATTTTATTATTTCTAATACTGTCTTTCCTGTTACTTTACTGTCGTGTTAGAGTTATCATTTTTCGAATATTTTTATTAAAACTCGTTGAATTTAATGCAACGAGGTTATTTAATGCATGTAAACCAGTGCCGAACAAGGGGAACACGTGTTAGTGAACGATCCGGTACAACAGGTACGATAATGCCAGCTCGGTTTGTTTATACCAGGGGGGATTAAAGTAATGCATCGATGCATGTTGGTCCGCCGCATTCAGCTTGATGAAGAGATTTACCATCCATCCGAACCCCTCACCTCACCCCTTCTCTCTGCAAATTACATACGCATTAGTGGTGGAAATATGGCGTACGAGGCGTAAGCCACGATAAACGCGAGGTCTTTGTGCGAAGAAGCGGCTAACGAGATTCGATTTCTGGTTAATCCTTTCGTTACCAAGGATCTGTGTACGTACGTTTGTATCTGTAGTTATGGGTGATAATTTTAGATCATTTCGAAAGTCTTCGGGTATTTTGGTTAAATCAAATAGAGAGGGTGTGCTCAAACTATTTACTTCTAACTAGGCCATCTTTCCTATAAGCAATTATTTTCTGCAATTCTGCAATTTCAAACCTGAAACTACGGTATCGTCTTTTGAAATCCCCACGAAAGGACAACGATTCGCGAATCATCTTCAGACGTACTCGTCGATCCAAAATCACAGCATCAACTTCTCTAAAAGATAATTCTACTGTAACTTGATGATCGAGGAAACTCGTATTATTATCACGTTGTCTTGCTCGCGGGGCCAAGCTTCCCAATTACACGCAAACAGACGGTGAGCATTGTTGCAACACGACAATAGACCCTGCTCTGGTATGTGCATCAAAGCGCACCCTTCACTGATACCACCAACGTCGTTTGTTGGTAGTGGTGGTAAATCGAGTTTCACGATGAACCGGCGAATTGACCCCTGCGGGCACTTTCGCTGTGTTTGCTTTGATTCGAAGTTTCCGGTTAAGTTGGTTACCGGAACGGGCGGACAAGGCTCTTTGTCTGATCCTGTAAAGCCGCCAGGCCTGCTGGATTTTCGATATCGTTCGCAGCCGAATCGTTTCGCAGTTTCCTATTCGTTCGTGGAACCTTGATAGACACAGGAAGTAATTAACATGTTCGGTGTCGTGCTGCAAAGTTGGCGTTTCTGGTAAGACATTAGGAAATTCTAATTATTCGACACGTGGATGATTTTTATTTTACAGTTTATTTCAGTTTCATTTTCTTCACTTAATTTTTCGCGATGGAATTTCCACTTTTGAAGCATTCAATCTAACAAAATATTAATTAATCCTTGAACAGCGGAGCCTGGGTCAATTGTGATCCAAATTTACGTGAAATTAAATGTATAATTTTGAAACGAAAGAAAATATTAGAGGCTCTCTCCATGGTCCGCCATCCATTAATTGTTCAAAATATCTATGTAGAGATTAATAAAACAAATTTATATTTGTGTTCTTCAATTTTGAGGCGCCCTGTATAATTGAGTAGTCTAAATGCACATTAATGAGAGTTTAAAGTGCAGTGAAATATTAAAGTTCCTTTATACCGTACATGTATGAGTTTTGAAAGTCTTTGTTGAAAATGATTCATAAAATAAATTCAGCTTGTAGGTTCAGATTCGTCCGATCGGAAGTTCGGTTAAAGTTTGAGGATATTTAATTACACAGTGAACTTTTGTAATCACCGTGCGACGTGTTGCGGCACGAAGTTGAACGTTCCTCTTGTTTCGTGTGCTGTATCGTCGAAGAATCTCTATTTACATGGTTTAATATTAACTCGTGTTACTAAGTTTCACGTCGGTTAACTGAAACGAAGTAACCGCGGTGTTCCCTCGGTTTCTGCGTTTCCTCTTGCGAATAAAGAACTTACTATGGTGTTGAAATGTCAAAAATTCCAAGAATTTTTAATGTGATCCTTACCTCTTCTGTTTTCGAAGATAAATTAACCGTTTTTGCTGTAAATGACTCTTAAGAGAGAAAATTACTTTTTATTTTGCTCTATGTGTTACTTGTTTTGTCTAACACTATCACGGTTACTATGGCTTCGATCATCGATTGCGTGCTGTACATAAAATTTGTTCTACTCCAATTTAAAGCTGAACTTCACTATCATTCTATCTATCATATCACTATATTTTATTATTTATCAAAGTATTTTTCTAATTTTAGATTGAACCATCCAATACAATAGATTATTCATAGATTTAAAATGATGTTCCCATGAAAAAAAAAGAATTCCCTGTTAATTAATAAATTAATTTCCAAACAGCATACAATGAAATTTCGTAAAATAATTCGATGAACCGAGCTCGGTCACGGTTAACGAGCGTTTAGCGCGATTTTAATTTCCAGCTAATTAACTTGCTTCCGCTTTGACTCGTTCGTAGGATATACTGTCGACAAAAAAGAAGCCGGGTGAAAAACGAACGAGGAACGGTAAATATGGAAACGGTTTCGCAGTCGGTGGGATTTTTCGAGCGAAAAAGGAACAACGCGATGAACATGATAAAACGCGAACACGGTAACCGTGCTTCTCAGTGTTAACATTTTAAATTCAATTTAAATTCAATTAAAGTTGCCTGGACCGCTTAAACGATTGGTCAAATGCTCGGGGGATGGACATCTTTGGGGTGAATGGAGAGTAGGAGGGTGAGAAGCGGGTAGACTTTGTGCAAACTGTGGGTGGATTCGTTTCTAATTATTGCACCTCTGTTCGGTACCTTCTTTTCATCGTATTTTATTTTTCTTCGTCGCCTAATTAACCAGTTCCATTTTTGTCTTTATCGGTTATCCTGATGGAGCATTGTTAAATTTGGAACATTTCAATTAAGGGATATTAGTAGTAATTTTTGTTATTGGAACTTATTACCACTATCTATTAATTATTATAATTCAAAGTACAAAATATAAATAAATTAACAGATACAGTATCTAGCAAAGAAGGCTGTTCTAGGAAAAAAGGCGATATAGGGGAAGGAGGAATATTAATATTAAAAATAATTTAGGAAGGAAATAACACAATTTTTAATCATTAAATATTATAAAATTTACTATACAATTCAGAGATATGCGAAATAACGTCAGAATCAATTCAAATTCTACCGCGTAAATGGGCAAGTGGTGGGGGGCACAGTGGTGGGGCCCTCTCCCCGGCAGCGTCAGTCTCCTCGGGACCGCGCACGGAGTAGGACGGACGCCCAGGAAGGGGAAGCCAGCAGCAGAGGGGGCTATCGTCCTTTTCTCTGGGTAAATCTACCATGCCCCATACTGTACAATTATAAAAAAATTTTTTAATTATTATATTGTATAATACACGAATTATCCATGTACCATTGGTTGAGAATCGCTGATCTACATAAAAGTCGAACAATTTGCCTAAATACATTGAACAAAAGATTTCAAGGAATTATTTACGAACGGTAGCATATTCGTTGGATCCCTGCAGGCAGCATTAAATTAAGATTAAATATCCATTATGCAAACGCGGAGGGTAGTGAGTGGGTGCAGTAAAAACTGCGTGGAGGGGTGCGTGCAAGTCTCTACCCTATCGATTTTTACGGTGTATCGCACGTAACGAGCTCGTTTACCTAAATATGAACTTCCATGGCGTTCACGACCTACTTCTTCATCGCATTCCTCAGCTACCAACAACCTTTTGTTTCACTCGACGAAAATGTTTGTCAAACTTACCTCGTTCTCGTTTGTTTATACAGCATCTAATTAAGAGAATACTTTTAAACCCTTCTCATTACTGAAGATCTCATTTTTTTAATTGCCTTTTCGCGTATTATGGTTTTCATGGTGTTGACACAAGAATCTGATAAATTCAACGATGAGTTTGCTTGATACTTCACGTTATTATTTATACGGTTTGTAAAAATGAGGTAATTTATGTTTCTGATTTTAATTTTCATAATTGTGCACTAATTGCTGGATTAATTTTCGGGGATGTTGACAGTGATCCTGGTTAATTTTTATACAAGAGGAAGTTTTATAAAATAGTATCTGAACATATATTTTATATTTTTGTATTTAAAATAATTTGTCACAATTTTATAGAATTTTCCTCTATTTGTTATTTTTTAATTTTTTCAAGGAAGTCTTGAAACGGTGGGCTTTCGAAAATTCTGATATAGAGCTGTCTTCTCTAGTGATACTCGCGTAGAGCAGAAATTTTTTAAGGGGTTAGACGAACATCCGGTTGGAGCCAAGAGGCCGGAAGGAGGGAACGATGGTTGAGCTTAACGAGCATCGAAATCTGCAGCCAAAAACGGGATTTGTTCCTTCATATTCTCATATCTCGTTCTCCTCTCTAATTTGAATATT